AGTAGTAGAAAATGGAGGAAATTACTTTGATTAAGGTATTCATTCATCTTCCCTTCGAAACAAATGGATTTTAGAGACGAAAAAACGGCAGGAATTAAGTTTAACACCTAATAAAATAATATATTTTATAATATATATATACTATATATTAAAATAAAAAGTTATTTTTCAATCTAAAAACTGTTTCTATTCTGACTGCCAATACCCAACCAAGTTACCTTTCGGTTTAATGCCAGTACCGAATCATAGTTAATCCAGTAATATGCCAGTACAGAGCCAGTACCAAAATCCTTAGCGCGGTACTGCGCCAGTTAATGTCAGCACAGTGCCAATACAGACGTTTGATACTGGCCTAGTACCGATTTCAGTACTGTCCCAGTACTGACTGCCAATACCCAGCCAAGTGACATTTCGGTTTACTGCCAGTACCGAATCAGAGTTAATCCAGTAATATGGCAGTACAGCGCTAGTACCGAAATCCTTAGGGCGGTACTGGCGCGGTACTGCGTACTGCGTTGTAAATTTTCACCTGGGGAAACGCGAACATGTGATTAGTTGAAATATCACAATCAGATCGCGGCTAAGTTCTAAGGCTTTAACCGATACAAGTATTTGATTATTTTTTTAATAATTTAAATTATTTAATTGATTAATTATTTTTTATAAATTTTTTATTTTTATAATTTGCAAACTTCAAGCGAGTATTTTATATTTTATAAATATTTTATTAAGTATTTATTAAGTATTTATTACTTTTAATAAAAGTAATAAAATTAAGAAGTATCAAATAAAGGGCAAGTGAGCCTTGCACGAAATTAGTGCTAAAATTACATATATTTAAACAATAATCATTATCACCCAAACGTTTCGGCTCCGCATTGAGCCATCTTCAGTGGGTAAAAAATACAAAAAAATTATTTCTTTTCTTCTACTTTACATTAGCGCTTTGTTCTTTCCGCTCGCACGAAGGTTGCTTATCGCTCGTTGTGAGATCGTTCGTTGGACAATCGTAATGTCATGTAATCCCATCCTCAGGTGACAAATAAACGGATCGCATCGAAGGAAAAATATATTACATCTGTGCAGGAACAACAGAGAACTCTCTATGATCACGCAATTAACGACAATTACAATCCAAATAACACCGAAAATGTACAGTACTTTGAGTCAATGTATAAAAACCGCGCTGTCCAACGGCATGTTAGTCAGATGAGTGACAAGCACAAAATGGCGAGGAAAGATCCAGAGTACTTTCCTTTTCCGACGGGAGAAAGTTGAAAGACAAAGGAGACGGGCAAAATATATGTAATTTTAGCACTAATTTCGTGCAAGGCTCACTTGCCCTTCTTTGGATACTTCTTAATTTTTAATTATATGAGCCAGATTAATATATTATATTTTTAAATTTCTTAAATTTTTTCGTTCTCAGCATAACCTCTACCAACTGGAATTACAATGATGCCTATACTTTAATCGTGGAGAAAGATTTTTAAATCTGTTACCTTTATGTTTATTTTGTTATGGAAAATAATTACATTTGGTCGATAAAAAAGATGACTTTAGGATCACTTTAACTGGAGATTGGTGCAAGAGGTCCCCACGCAACAATTCGACGTCTTATAGACGTCCAAATGATGTCTTGTTCGTTATACCAGGACGTACCGAATATGTTTCTAAAGACATTCAGTATACATCTTTTGTACGTATAATGTACCGCCCAAAGACGTCTAATAGACATCATTAGTACGTACACACGGGGACAATAATGCCTACACATTTGAAGTTGCATGCGTATCTAGAGAGACCAATGAGAAGCACGCCTTCCGCCCCACACAGGGTTTTTTCATTTATCTCTCTAGTTATGCAACTTCAGATGTATAGGTATTATTGTCCCCGTGTGTACAATTTACCATCAAAAAGTGTCCAATACATATTATTAATTTATATATAATAATGTATCACCCAAAGAAATTCACTCTTAAATAGCACCGCAGAGATTTCTCAATCAACTATATTTTTCAAATATTTTTTTCTGATATTTTCTATAATTTCTCAAAAACTTATTTATAATAATAAACTTATACATATTAAACTTATACAAACTTATTTATAATAATAAACTTATACATAAAAATACCTAAAATTGCCAAAATAATTTATTAACATTTATCATTGAACCCAACTCATCTTTAAGGCATCATTATTTCACTTTGATTTTAGATGATTGAAAAATCTCATAATGCTGTGGCTTTTATCCCATTCTGTATGGATTTTTATTTACGAGAAAGAGAATTT